GTTTTTGAACTAATTCATCCTTTTATTCATTAATAAGTGAATTAATAGATCAGGGATTTATTTTTTGATTTATCTTACTTGTTACTTGGAGAGTAATCCTCAGGGCTCCTTTAGGAACATAGGTGAGGATGCCAGTAGGTCGTCACGAAGTAATGATCTCTCATCCATGTCCTGCTACATAGTGCTCTCCACACTTAAATACTCCTTGCACAGATAGATATTGCGTACATTTTATAGTTGTCCAATGTCGATTGAGTCCAGCAGGGTCCGAAATATGTTTAAAGTCCTTGCCTCTTTTATTTCTACTGGAAGTTTATTCCATTTTGGAACAACACGATTAGAAAAAAAGTTTTGCCTGACATCAGTTCTTGATCTTTTTGGTATCAGATTGTCTTGATATGCTGTATGACGAGTTAACCTGGTAGCATCTACTCCAACCTTGCTGAACTAGTCAAGTTTGGTTTGTCTGTCCTTCAGTGACAATAAACCTAGTTCATTAAGCTTCTCCTCATAAGTCCTGCCATTTAAACCAGTGATCAGGTTGACCGCCCTACGCTGTACTTTCTCTATTATTTCAATATCCAATTAATTTTCATTTAGTATTTCAATTGATTTATTGATTTATTAATTTATTGATTTATTAATTTATTGATTTATTAATTTATTGATTTATTGATTTATTGATTTAATGATTTATTGATTTATTAATTTATCGATTTATTGATTTATTGATTTATTGATTTATTGGTTTATTGGTTTATTGATTTGTTGATTTGTTGATTTGTTGATTATTTGATTTGTTGATTAGTTGATTTGTTGATTTATTGATTTATTGATCAAATAATAATTGAATTGAATAGTGGATGTTGATGCTGTGCTAGACAAAAACCTTGACGACATGGCTATGGGATTGGCTCGACTAAAAGGTAAACTAATATATTTGTTTTTATAGCTTTGAGTACCCCCCCCCCGCTCCTTTTATTATGAATCAATTTTGGTGATTCGAAACAGAAAAAAAATCATGTGTTTATTTTGTTATAATAATGCCTAGATATATTTATCTATCTAATATCACGTGCCCCTACATTTAATCTTACACTATCATCACTATCCACTATCATCACTACCATCACTACCATCATTATCATCATTATTATTCAGGTGGATCGTCAGAACAGAGATATGAATAAAATTCTGGGTAAAAAGTAAACAAGAGCCTGGTGCAGTACACAATCAATCTCTCACACTTCACGCTGTACACTTTGTGTACACCATTTACAGTTCACACTGTACAGTACTGCAATATCAGTTGAGCAATTAATATGCTTGAATCGCATTTTAAGTTATGTATTAATATTCGTCAAATTATAGTATTTATGATCATAACAAGGTAAATTAGACTAAACCGAAATATCGTTTCAACTCAACCTTCTTACATGCTAGAAACCCTATTTTCCCATTAGATGATGTGGACGATCCAATNCTGTCACAAATTATACTTCAAGAAAACTCCTTTTAAAGAATATTTTTATTAATGTAAGATAGAAGACATTTTAGTTTGGCTTGTTATAACAGAGTCTGAATTTACTCTGCTTTGACAGGGTTTCCCACTTAGAATGAGACTTTGATGACGACATTAAACTCTTTGGACGGTAATTCCGTACTTGTCGTCTTTACGTCTTATCTCAACCCTGTAGCTTAACAGTTTTAATGCCATTTTTGCCGAGCAGAAATGTAATGTTATAATTGATTATAATTGAAATCTAAAGACGACATTTAAATTATCACTCAGAAATGGAGGACCCTTTCTGCAGAAACACGAAAATTGAGTTAAGTCTTTTTTTACAACGGGGGGGGGGCAAAAGATGGTTCATAACTTTTAATGTGACCTTATTAAAATAGATTGTTTTTGTAAATGGATAAATGTAACATTATATGTCGTTGAAAATTTACAATATTACCTTTATTTTGCAAAAAAGTCGGAAATTAAAATGGTTGGAAAGAAGGAATTATTTCCCGGTTAATTTACTTTCTCATCCTTTGTTTTATATCAAGAAATATTTGCAACAGATGTTTAAAGAAATTGTACAGCAGTCTGGGGGGAAAGTAAACAATCAGATTCTCATGTTGTGTGGGCGAAATGTGAACACTGCAGTACACTTTAGAAGCTCCCTGTTTTGAATATTTGATGGTTTGAATGATATAAAAAAATTTATATAGATTATCTTAATTATATTTTATCAGTTTCATTTACGTGAAATATTTTATCAAAAACTTATGAGTTTATAGTTTTTGTCTTTTTAACAAAGTTTTTAACTTTTCAGAGAAAATGTCAAAGGAGGAAACTGAGGGTACACAAAATAAACATTTTAATTATTTCATTTATTTTTTCTTTCGCAAATTTTGCGCTATTTTTCCTTCTAATTTTGCGATGTTAAAAACTAATATCAACCAAAATTGCACTTTCATTGATATATTTCAAATTATGTTTGATTTATTATCTTAATTGTATTTTGTATTTTTTTTATAAATAGTTTATTTGGTGTTTTTAAGAGTTTGTAAGCCTGAAGTCTGATATCGGAAAACATGAAATTTATCTCAAACAAAGCGTACTGCAAGATCTCAATATACACAAATACTGGTAAGTAAACCAACTATACAGTACTGCAAGATCTCAATATACACAATTACTGGTAAATAAACTAACTATACAGTACTGCAAGATCTGAATATACACAATTACTGGAAAATAAACTAACTATACAGTACTGCAAGATCTCAATATACACAAATACTGATAAGTAAACCAACATTACAGTACTGCAAGATCTCAATATACACAAATACTGGTAAATAAACTAACTATACAGTACTGAAAGATCTCAATAAACACAATTACTGGTAAGTAAACCAACATTACAGTACTGCAAGATCTTAATATACACAAATACTGGTAAGAAAATGAACATTACAGTACAGCAAGATCTTAATATACACAATTACTGGTAAGTAAACCAACTATACAGTACTGCAAGATCTCAATATACACAAATACTGGAAAATAAACTAACTGTACAGTACTGCAAGATCTGAATATACACAATTCCAAGTAAGTAAACCAACTATACAGTACTACAAGATGTCAATATACACAAATACTGGTAAGTAAACCAACCGTACAGTACTGCAAGATGTAAATATAACCAAATACTGGTAAGTAAACCAACCGTACAGTACTGCAAGATGTAAATATACACAAATACTGGAAAATAAACTAACTGTACATTACTGCAAGATGTAAATATACACAAATACTCGAAAATAAACTAACTGTACAGTACTGCAAGATGTAAATATACACAAATACTGGAAAATAAACTAACTGTACAGTACTGCAAGATGTAAATATACACAAATACTGGAAAATAAACTAACTGTACAGTACTGCAAGATGTAAATATACACAAATACTGGAAAATAAACTAACTGTACAGTACTGCAAGATGTAAATATACACAAATACTGGAAAATAAACTAACTGTACAGTACTGCAAGATGTAAATATACACAAATACTGGAAAATAAACTAACTGTACAGTACTGCAAGATGTAAATATACACAAATACTGGAAAATAAACTAACTGTACAGTACTGCAAGATGTAAATATACACAAATACTGGAAAATAAACTAACTGTACAGTACTGCAAGATGTAAATATACACAAATACTGGAAAATAAACTAACTGTACAGTACTGCAAGATGTAAATATACACAAATACTGGAAAATAAACTAACTGTACAGTACTGCAAGATGTAAATATACACAAATACTGGAAAATAAACTAACTGTACAGTACTGCAAAGGAATTGAGTTATTGCCAGAAGTTGTGATCTTCTAATCCCTATATCTCTGCAATCCATTGTCATAGACCTTTGATATTTCAAACTAATATGAATTCTGTTGGATCATATAATCTAAGTTTGAAATATCAAAGGTTTATACTGACATGTTGCAAAGATATAGGGATAAAAAAGCTTTTTTGGTAAAAACTCAATTCTTTTAATGATGATGTTTCTGAATTTCACATTGTACAATGTACACTCTGGTTTCCCGGCACTCATTTTTCAGTTTAAAAAAACGTTATTAATATGTATCATGATCAATATTATCATCATTAATTACTATTTCAGTAACTGTATCCTGGTTTGTGAGGATGGAGAGCTACCCATCAACAGTCTCTGCCTCTCCCTAGTGTTCCCAACCCTGGAGCTAAACCTCAACCTGGAGGAGAGGATGTTTATACTCCCGGACTACACAAGGAGGGAGATATTCAACATCCTGGATACTCTTCTTCAAGAGGAGGAGGATATCCAGGTTAGATTCAACAATAGATAAGAGAGCATTTTTTTCCAATATTTTGGAATATCCAAGTTAATTGCGGTCGCGTATACTCTGCGTACATATTGAAACCAGTTCTCTCGGGGTGGAATTTTTAAACAAGAATAGATGCATCAGTGTTCGTTTAGTATCCGAGGAGGATAAAAGCATTTAATTTTGATAATTTTGAAAATTCACATAATAGTTTCCTAAGACCAGAATATTTTATAGATTATTTTTGTGAAAATGGATTCCATGTCAGGCTGTGAAATCCTTCTTGTGTTTACTTTTTCACCCAAACACAGTACACTGCAGTACACAAAATGCGTACACCTCTGAGATAACTTTTCTTGCATTAGTACCTTGGGAATATTGTTCTTTTTTTTTAACTCACACAGTACCACTAAAAAAATCAACAATTATTCCAAACTATTGCAAAAATACTTTTTTTTGGACTCACCTTTACTTAAAGGGATTGTTTTCCTAATTAGAAATAAACTTAAAGGGATTGTTTTCATATTTTGGAAGCACATTGTTTGGGCTTAGGACACAAGTTATTGTATAATACCACCCAACAATTATCTTAAAGTCCAGTTATCGAATTTTTATTTTGTTTAAAATTATTCTCATATATTTTCTTATTTATTCGATTTATCTTTTTTTATTATAGCTCGTAAATAATCAAGAATTTGAGAGAGACATATGTCAAAGAGATCGTGAAAATGAAGAGGAGGTAGGGGAACAAAATCAGGAAATGCTAGAACAACATAATGATTATTTGGAACAAGATGATCAAGTAGAATATCAAGAATATCAAGAATATCAAGAAGGTTTAGAAATTCAGGAAAGTTTGGAAGAAGTTGAAGATGATGATAGAGATGGAGATAATGGAGGGGATGGAGATAGTGTAGATGATGGAGATGATCTGGATAAAGATGATGGAAAAGATGAAAATGATGGAGATCTTGAAATGGAAGAGTATTCATATGATCAAAATATGGACGCTGATGAAAATTTAGATAAAGATCAAATTGAAGATCAAATAGTTATTGATCAAATCAATCCAGAATTTAATGGAATTCAGCGTCAACAAAGTTTTGAAAGGCAAGCTTGGAATTGGTTTTGAAACAAAATGTTATGTTTTCTTTTTTGTGTCTTTTTGTTGTAGTTCACTTGTATACAAATTCCCCCAATTAAACAGAGCTGAAAACTTTAGAATGAGATATCCTTAATCTCGATTACTTAATCTGAGTATCCACTGGACACACTTTTGATTTTCTTAACCCGTTCTTCCTTGAATATAGTAGAGAAAAATCAAAAATCGGTTTTTCTAAATTAGAGAATTCCTTCGATTTCTGTATACAATCTTGAATGGCGCGAAAAATTTCAAATTTGTCGGTTTTATATATGCGACTGTGATTGATTAAACTTTATACACTTCAGGATACAAGTACAAGAATATGCTAATTCTAATGCTAATTCCAAGTTAAGAAAGGTTTCCAGGAAAGGATTTGAATGCTCTTTCTGTCCAGAATATTTCCAAAGGAAGGATTATTTAATGGTAAGAATTGAAAAAATATTGTAAATCTATAAATCCAATAATATTCCTTGTACTGAATACTCGTTCTTTTTATAAAACATCATTAATTGGACTTAAGCAGGGATATTTGTTTTAAAGAATTCGTTCTTTTTATAAAGCATCATTAACTGTACTTAAGCAGGGATATTTTTTTTAAAGAATTCGTTCTTTTTGTAAAGCATCATTAACTGGACTTAAGCAGGGATATTTGTTTTAAAGAATTCGTTCTTTTTATAAAGCATCATTAATTGGACTTAAGCAGGGATATTTGTTTTAACGAATTCGTGCTTTTTATAAAGCATCATTAACTGGACTTAAGCAGGGATATTTTTTTTTAAAGAATTCGTTCTTTTTATAAAACATCATTAATTGGACTTAAGCAGGGATATTAGTTTTAACGAATTCGTTCTTTTTTGTAAAGCATCATTAATTGTACTTAAGCAGGGATATTTGTTTTAAAGAATTCGTTCCTTTTATAAAGCATCATTAATTGGACTTAAGCAGGGATATTTGTTTTAACGAATTCGTTCTTTTTATAAAGCATCATTAACTGGACTTAAGCAGGGATATTTGTTTTAAAGAATTCGTTCTTTTTATAAAGCATCATTAACTGTACTTAAGCAGGGATATTTTTTTTTAAAGAATTCGTTCTTTTTATAAAACATCATTAATTGGACTTAAGCAGGGATATTAGTTTTAACGAATTCGTTCTTTTTTGTAAAGCATCATTAATTGTACTTAAGCAGGGATATTTGTTTTAAAGAATTCGTTCTTTTTATAAAGCATCATTAACTGGACTTAAGCAGGGATATTTGTTTTAAAGAATTCGTTCTTTTTATAAAGCATCATTAACTGGACTTAAGCAGGGATATTTTTTTTAAAGAATTCGTTCTTTTTATAAAGCATCATTAACTGGACTTAAGCAGGGATATTTGTTTTAAAGAATTCGTTCTTTTTGTAAAGCATCATTAACTGGACTTAAGCAGGGATATTTGTTTTAAAGAATTCGTTCTTTTTATAAAGCATCATAAACTGGAGTTAAGCAGGGATATTTGTTTTAAAGAATTCGTTCGAAAAATAGGGCTGGGTATAAGGGGAGGAGGTTGAGGGTGGGGGTGGTGGGGGCATCGTTTAAGTTTTAATAATCTTGTAATTTTAGGTTCATATTTTAAACCTGCACTCTACCGAGCCCGGAGTAAAAATATTAAAACAGAAATCAATCAATCAACAATATCAATGTCAAGTTTGTGGCAAGGTAAATCATACAATTAATTCACTAAATAAATCATTGATCAAGTATCAAGCGTTTGACTTATTGATTGACTTTTATCTCGTGATTGACGGACAGAGAGATTGACTGACTGATAGAATGACAGATTGACTGACAGATAGACTGACAGATTGACTGACGGATTGACTGATTAATTCACTGACAGATTTATTGACAGATTGGCTGATTAATTGACTGACTGATTGATTGATTAGCTGACTTCTTTCATCAATGAATTATTTAGTTACATGATTATAATTAATTGGTTAATATTGAATAATTGATAGATAGATTGATTGATTGATTGATTATATTTTAAAGATATTTTCTGCTCCCAGTCATCTAAGAAGACACTCAATAAAGCACACTGGTGAGAAAGCATTTCACTGTGAAGTTTGTGGATTAGAATTTACTAACAATTGGAATTTGAAGAAACACATCAAGAGACATACAGGTAATTAATATTATTTGAAGATTAAAAATTTTAAAGATTTCATTATGTTTTTTAAGAATGTGAACAATAAATAAATAAATATAGTTTTAAAAATAGAAATTTTTCGAAAAAAAGAATTAATGAAAAAAGTGTAATATTGAGACTGAACTTTAATAATTCAGGAGAATTGAAGTTTGCTTGTGATATCTGTGATAAAGAGCTGTGCTCCCGTGCATCTTTAAAAGATCATTTAACAATTCATACAGGTTGAGCTTTTCATTATATTTTATCGTGCGTCTGTTTGTTTGTTTGTATGATTTCAATGAACGCCAAAAAACAGAAATCTATCAAATTTTATTTTAAATGTACAAACAAAAAATAATTAAAAACTAGTATTTTTTAATTGAAAAAGCAAATTATCTTAAAAGGAGGCGTTGCATCAATGACATTTTTCAATATCTCAGTAAATAATGGTGAAGATATGGAATTATATGGACCCCTGCGACAGAACCTTTAAACTAAGCATTGTTCATTCAGGTTCACGAGAACACTCCTGCAACCTATGTGGAAAATCCTTTAAAAGATCTGGAAACTTGTATAGACACAAACAGAGTTGTAAACTCAACAGTTCAACCGGGAACAGTTTTTCTGGTGATATTAAAGAGGAGGTTTTAGAACAGAACGGTGTTAAGCTTGATGTCGGAGCACAGAATGGTGTTAAGCTTGATGTCGGAGCACATAATGGAGTTCAACTTGATGTCGGAGAACAGAACAGAGTCCAACTTGCTAGTGGAGCACAGACTGGAGTTCAACTTGATATCAGAGAACAGAACGGTGTTAAGCTTGATGTCGGAGACCAGACTGGAGTTCAACTTGATGTCGGTGCACAGACTGGAGTTCAACTTGATATCGGAGAACAGAATGGTGTTCAATTTGATGTCGGAGCACAGACTGGAGTTCAACTTGATGTCGGAGCACAGAACGGAGTCCAACTTGATGTCGGAGCACAGAACGGAGTCCAACTTGATGTCGGAGCACAGAACGGAGTCCAACTTGATGTCGGAGCACAGAACAGAGTTCAACTTGACCAACTTAGAGATGGTCTTCAAGATCTTGGGTTTCTTGTTGAAGTTGTCATTGCTTAAAAATATTTCAGATTTATATTAAAAGAAAATCATTTCAAGAAATGGAATTGGAGAAACATTTGGAGTTTTTGAGTTCTATTCTCAGGTCTCACGCTCAAACTAAAGTAAGCTTTAAATGGAACTTTCCAAGGTTCTAGTCTTCTCTTTGTAGAATTATCAGATTAAAATAGAAATATTACTATATTGTTTCTATCATCTTCATTTTCCCTTCAATCTTAATGCATTTCTTCATTCCTTTGATTTTCTCATTAAATAGGCATTGTTCATTCATTCATTCATTTCCTTATCAATCCTTTAATTTTTTCAGTCATTCATTATAAATTCATCCTTCCTTTCAATTATTCATTCTTCCCATTATTCTTTCATGGATTCTTACTTTTATCTATTCATCCTTTCATTCATTTATTCATTCGTTAATTGATTCTTCATTGCATTCATCCTTTCATTCATTTATTCATTCGTTAATTGATTCTTCATTGCATTCATCCTTTTATTTATTCATCCTGTCATTCATGTATTCATTCGTCAATTGATTCTTCATTGCATTCCTCCTTTTATTTATTCATCCTGTCATTCATTTATTCATTCGTTAATTGATTCTTCATTGCATTCATCCTTTTATTTATTCATCCTGTCATTCATTTATTTATTCGTTAATTGATTCTTCATTGCATTCATCGTTTTATTTATTCATCCTGTCATTCATTTATTTATTCGTTAATTGATTCTTCATTGCATTCATCCTTTCAATTACTCATTTATTTATTAATTTAATTTTAAGGATTTGAGCAGTTTAAAGCTACGTTGTGTTGATGGAGAGCTGGAGTTGAATAAATTTATTGTAGGATTTATTTTTCCAGCCTTGGAAATATCACTGGTAAGTTCTATCATATTTTGGGTTGATTTCTTGTCACACTCAGGGAACAGATTCACAAAGGTACCATCGAAACCTTTATCTTATAAATAATGCTGCTGAAGATATTGTCGTTCTTGTTAGTAGTGTTTTATTATGTTCTTAAGCTTTCGTAGAAACGCGCAAATCATTTTTGTAAAATAATTGCAATTGAAAATAATCAGTTTTTAAAGCTATAAACATTGATATATAATTAAAACTTGATCAATAAAAGCTTTTAATGGTACCTTTGAGAATCTGGCATCGCCATTATTGAATGGAGGGTCACTCGAATCAATGTACGATTCACAACGGTACCCTTAAAAGCTTTGTATGATGATAAAAAATGAATGAAATATCCATGTTCTTTACTTTAAACATTGATTATTTTATTTAAGTAATTTGCGAAGAAACAATCGATGAAAATAGAAAAAATTAACCATTTTTAAACTATAAAACGACGATATCTTCCACATATAAAGTTTTAAAGGGTATCGTTGTGCATTTGGCATATTTCTCTCTAAATGTCACTTACAACGTCTGTTCCTTTAAGGATTAATTTTTAGGAGTTTAATTTATCATTGTGTGATTCTATCCTGCTTCCTTCCCACACGGTTCAGGAGATTCATCAGCTTATAAATCAATATCTTCAGTTTAGTAAGTTTTCCCTTTAGTTCAGTAAGTTTCCTTCAGTTTAGTAAGTTTTTCCTTCATTTGAGTAAGTTTTTCTTTTGTTCAGTAAGTCTTTCCTTCAGTTCAGTAAGTTTTTCTTTCAGCTCAGTAAGTTTTTCTTCAGTTCAGAAAGGTTTTCCTTCAGTTTAGTAAGTTTTCCTCCATTACAGTAAGTTTTCCTTCAGTTTAGTAAGTTTTCCCTTCAATTCAGTAAGTTTCTCCTCAGTTCAGTAAGTTTTTTTTGTACAAAACAGTAGTTTTCCTTCAGTTTAGTAAGGTTTCCTTCAGTCCAGTAAGTTTTCCTTTAATCCAAGAAGTTTTTCCTTCAATTTAGTAAGTTTTTCCTTCAATTTAGTAAGTTTTTCCTTTAATTTAGTAAGTTTTCCTTCAGTTCAGTAAGTTTCTCCTTCCTTACAGAAAGTATTTCTCTCAGTTCAGTAAGTTTTTCCTCCATTTCGAAGAGAATGTTTTCTTTTGTTTATTTTATTTAAAAATGCATTATATAATTAAATAAATTATAAATGGGGTTTTCCACTGATAAAAATGATTTAATTTTTAAGGAAAAAATATTTAAAAATTTAAAAAACAATTGCTTTGAATTTTAATATATAGTTAGTTTTTAAAAGAGAAAAGAAACGTACATGGTTCCCGAAGATACTCCATTTTCAGCTAGTAAAATGTGGTTATCTTCTTCAAAGAGGATCAGACAAAAGGTTAATGGGCACTGTTGTGAATCGTACATGAAATTACGTTTACAAAGTCCGAATTTAATGAATTTGAGCCGCGTCTCAAATCCACAAAAAACCGGCTAAAATCTTGAACATTGAATAAATTTTAAGTGGAACCAACCATACTTTAGCCGTGTTTCAAATTTAAGCCGCGACTCAAGTTCTTTAAATTCGGTCTTAGTCCCTTTAACTAGTACGGGACTAATACTTTGATTTTTCAGCCTCTTCAAGTTCTGGGAAGTGCGAAGCCGCTGAACCCGAAATCAAATTAGAAGAGGTACGAACTTAAAAAGTTTAGACGTCAGAGTTTTCGCAAAAGTTAAATAAAACATTTTTGTTTTGGATTATTTTTCTTCTTCTGTAAGTTGTGTCTAGAAATAACATTTCATTTAGTTATTTAGTTTTCTTTATTTTAACAATTTTTCTTTAACCATAAGTAAAAGGATTGAGTGATGGACTGACTGATTGATTGATTGATTGCTTGGTGGTTACATTTACAATTCCAACAAACTGAAAATACTGACATTTTAATATTTTAGGGTGTTTTTCTCGTAGAATCGGAAATAGCAGGAATATTGTTATTTTTTTTACATAAAAACGGCATTCTTTTGAAGTTAAGTAATTCTTTAAACCTGATTTCAATGGTATCCAGGACCTGAAATATTCAGCTTGCAGACCAAATTCCTATTATAATTATTTTAAACCTATTTATAGCTTTGAGTTGGAATTTTTTGTATCTATATATATAAAGTTGTAATCTCTGTGCTTGTATTCATAACTCATGAACCAGTTTGTGTTAAAGAATCAAAATTGAGTGGATCGACTTTATTGGGAAAAAATAGCTAAAATCGTAATTTAAAACTAAGAGCGGTTAAACGGCGAAAGTCACTATGAGTAATTAATTCAGGTGGTATAATGAAAAAAAAGGAAAATGTAAACCCAATACAAAAATTCCCATCTATATAGTATTTGGTTTTTACAACAAAAACTTAAATCTTTTTTAGTTACAGAATTGAAATTTGGCTTTAAGTACACTACTTCCTTTGAATCGAGAAAAAAATAATACAAATATTAAGAGTACTCTCCTGTGAGAACTAAGTTCCTAACCACGGCAGGAAACCATGAAATTTAAATTAAATATCTTTAAAATCACTTTTCATAATTTTGACCATTTTTTTAAAAAAAATTAATGTTTTTATTAATAAATCTAATAACATGGGAATTTTAAGGAAGAAACATATCCCTGTACAATATGTGATGAAGTGTTAGCTGATGAGCATGTTTTAAAAGATCACATGAAAACCTGTCGATCGTACTCTTGCAAGATTTGTGGACAGTCCTTTTCCAGGCATTGAATCAAAACTTTGTTTTCTTTAACCCCCTCCCCCATGACATGAAAATATTTTTTTCTCCATTTTTAAATGAGTAGTTTGCTTGAAGTGCACCCATTTTCCTTCGCTTGAAGTGCAACCATTTTTCTTTCTTTGAAGTGCATCCATTTTTCTTTCTTTGAAGTGCACCCATTTTTCTTTCTTTGAAGTACACCCATTTTTCTTTCTTTGAAGTGCACCTATTTTTCTTGCTAAAGTGCCATCATTTTTCTTTCTTTGAAGTGCACCCATTTTTCTTGCTAAAGTGCACCTATTTTTCTTTGCTTAAAGTGCGCCAAGATTTATTATCATTTTGTAATGAACATTTTGTTTTGTGTCGAAAAGTACATTCCCGAGTTTTATTTTGAAAATATGAAAATATAAAAAATGTAATATTTGGAATAAATCATTTCAACTTGAACCAGAGGGTCCTGATAAACATATGACTGCAGTAACTTGAAAAAAATGTCCGTGATAAGATACTTAAAGAGACTGTACGTATAATTTCAAGTAACCCTCAACGTAAAGATGAATCACAGCGGTACCCTTGAAATATGTTTATCTGATAAAAACTATTAAAGATTTTTTCATTTTTCTAGTTTAAAAACTATGATAATTCCAATATGATTTCCTGCAGTTTATAAAAATTCGCAAAACACATTTGTTGAGAAACCACAAAGGAAAATAATCGGGTTTCAAAATTAAAAACATTGATGTCTAATTCATACTTGATCAGAATCGGCTTTTGGGATAATCGTTTTTATCATTGTTTCTTGGATAGAGGACGCGACTGTTTTCAATCTTATTGTAACTAATAAATCTGAGGCCTAATTTAAAGAATTTGAGCCGCAGCTTAAATTTGAGACGCGGTTCTAATATGGTTGGTTCCACTTAAAATTGTATTCAATGTTTCAAGATTTAAGCCGGCGCTCAATTGAAACCGGTTTTTGGCGGATTTGATACGCGGCTCAAATTCATTAAATTCAGACTCTGAAAAACAAAGATCGTTTTTTAAATTTGAAATATTTTATGATTTGATTTGTTGTTAGAGACACTGCTTTAATGAAACATGTAAAAGCAGAACATGTGGGGAAAGAAAATATTGAGTCTGGAAAATCTACCAAACTCCGAGGAGATAAATCCGCAAAAGTTCACAGCTGTTCCTTTTGTAATAAATCATTTCCGTCAAAGTACAAATTAGGCAAGTTCATTTTGCATTAATTATTGACCATTGACAGCTTTCTTTGATACTCAGCATATTAAAAAGGTATTTTTATAAGAATTTACACATTTCTATTATTTAGAAAAGCATTCCAATTTGCACACAACCCCGTTTCCTTGTGAGCTTTGTGATCAAAAGTTTTCAAATTCTATCAAACTGTCAAGACATATGAATCACTCACATGAACTAGGTAAGGACTAGAGCTAACATTATATTTTAATTGTACATAAAAAACGTTTTGTTAGTCGTTTTTCGCATAAAGTAAGCAACTGTTTTTTTTTAATTATTTATTCTTAACAGTAAGCATTTGCTGTTCTTACACTATGCCAGATTTTTATCACGAAAGAAAATATCTGCAACAAACGAACCAAAAACGAACGACTTAAAACGATCGTTTTTTTGGTTTGTTTTTCCATTTTTTTATCAGGATAAAACAAGTTTAATAACTTCATTCGAATACAGTTTCAATTCAAAAGTTTTTTTAAAAGTTTTTTTTTAAAAACTAACCAGAACGTTTAACAACCCTTACTAAAAAAAAATCAAAAATTTTATTTTAGATGTTAAGATTGAACTTGGGCACACTTGTGCAATATGTGAGAAAGAATTTACCGCTACAAGTATGCTGACAAATCACATGAGAACTCACACCAAGGAATTGAGGCGGAAATCAATCAATCCTCGCTAGAAAGAATAAGGAACTGTAAACGTAATTTTAAGTAACCTTCTCTTGATAAAGTTGCATGTCCAATTCACAACGATACCATTAAAAGCTTTTTCTGATTTAGAATCAATTTTTTTTTTGTTTTTTGAAAACTGTCTATTTTTTATTTGATTTATTTGATTTCCCTGCAAAAGTGACTGGCGCTTTTCTTTCTTCAGAAACCTTAGAAATATTATCCAAATTAAGCACATTTCAAGTCAGTAAAATGACGGTATCTTCCACATTATTGATTAGATTGTCAAGGGTACCGCTGTGAATTGGGTATAACCGCTTTAAACTAAGACGACAGTCCCCTTAAAAAATATGATTGATTTATTATATATTTTTGAAACAGGAGAAACCGTTTAAATGTAATATCTGTGGTAAAGAGTTCTCAATAAAACATAATTTAAGGAAACTATCAAAATTTAGATTTGTAGTATTTACCATTGATAGTCTCTCAGGGCGCTTCGCGCCCATATTCTTTTTCAATTTCGAACATTTTTTCTTTGTCAACAGTGTAAAACGATAACAAATAAAGTTCGCGGATTTTATAAAAAATTTCGTGGATTTTCAAAATTAAATAAAAATCGAATTCTGTTGGAGGGTAATTTTTGAAATTTTGATCATTCATAAACCTTTCCTGGGATAAGGTAATGTCTCTCACAAAATTTGGGCCCGATCGGTTCGGCCGTTTTGACGTTTATTGGATACAAACAAACAAACAAAGAGACACCCAGACAAGCAAAGTATACATATAGATTGAAACAATAACTAGAAAAAGTAACATTTGTTTTGGTAAAGTTTTTGTTTTGTTTGTAAATATTTTGTTAGTCATTTTAATTAACATAAACAATTTTACTTTTAAAGTAGTTTTTCTCGTTTTTTCCTTGTGTACTAAATGGAAAAAAAGAGCGTAGTTTGATTATTTTTTTCTTCCTCATTTAAAATATTAAAATTTTGATGTTTGGTTTAGAGTTCATACAAGAATTCATGATGGAAGCTCTAAAGTTTATGCTTGCCGGTTCCCTCCTTGCATAAGGTGGGTCATATATATTTTTAAACTTTGTTCTCTTTTTCATTTTGATACTACATCCAAATTAATTTATTTTAGAAAGTTTTCGCATACTTCCGAGAGAAAAGATCATGAAGGTTGTCATACAGGAGAAAAGCCGTATACTTGCCCTTACTGCGCTCAAAGGTGAACCCTACAATTACCACAACTGTACTCCAAAGGTTGATCGTACACTTGCCCTTATTCTACTTTAAGGTTAACCGTACATTTGCCATTACTGTATTCAAAGGTTAACCATACACTTGCCCTTTTAGTTCATAATCAAAGGTAAACCATTCAGTTACCCCTACTGTACTCCAAAGGTTAACCGTACACTTGCCCTTACTTCGCTCAAAGCTAAACTGTACAATTACCCATTCTGTGCCCAAAGGTGAAATTACGCTTGCCCATCCTTTGCTCAAAGATAAACTGTACACTTGCTCGTCCTAAACTCAAAGATAAACGGTAAATTTGTCCTGACAGTGCTTAAAGGTCAATCATAAAATTACCCTTACTGCGCTTAAAAGTAAACTATTCATTACCCCTACTACACACAAAAGTAAACTGCACAATTACCCTTACTAAAGCTAAAAGTGGCCCCCCCCCCCCCGGCAGGTTGTGGCACGGTACGCATGCCTGGCAGGTTTTGCCTCTGGAACCCACAAGCTTTGGTTTCCCGGAAGCTGTGCGAGTCAGAAAATCTAACACCGGCAGATCGCTAGCTAGCATCGTTTATCTGTAAAATTAAACACCGTAAAATTCTCTTAAAGGTTTTTAATGAAATCTAAACATTTTTCAACAATACTGCACTCTTAGCATAACTACCATGTCTACCCAGCCTCTCCCTTTAACCCTGATATAATTTTACTTACAGTACCATTTCTTTTCCAAAAACTTTACAAGCAACGCATTTTAAAAATTACGAAAATATTTTTCTTTAAAATACATTCAATTTCCATTAAATAAAAATTAATTCAAATTTTACCTAATTCTATGATACGGTCGGGGGAGGGGGGCTAGATCTCTTTTTTTTTATTTTATTACATTTTAGTTAAATTTGTGTGTACAATATACATTTTAATCTTTATGTACAGGAGCCGGGTGGGGAGCTGTACAGCGTTCATCTTCCAGAACCAGTGGAAATATCAGGGGTGGAAATGTCGGGGACCAGTTAAAGAATCATTTCTGATATCCCATGGCTGGAAATGTCAGGTTCTAGCTAGATGGTCATTTCTGAAATTTCAGGGGTGGAATTGTCGAGTTCTAGCGAGATTGTCGTTTTTAAATCTCAGGGGTTGAAATGTCAGGTTCTAGCAAGATGGTCATTTCTGAAACTTCAGGGGTGGAATTGTCCAGTTCTAGCTAGATTGTCGTTTTTAAATGTCAGGGGTTGAAATGTCATGTTCTAGCAAGATGGTCATTTCTGAAATCTAAGAGGTGGAATTGTCGAGTTCTAGCTAGATTGTCGTTTTTAAATCTCATTTGTTAAAATGTCATGTTCTAGCTAGAAAATTTTTTCCGATATCTCAGTGGTGTAAATATCTGGTTCTTGTTAGTGAATGTGATTCATCTCCGATATGTCAGGGGAGGAAATATCTGGTACTTGTTAGTGAATGTGATTCATCTCTGATATGTCAGGGGAGGACATTTCGGTTTCTATTGAGTAATTACTAATTTCATATATTTTAATTAGTCAATGTTAATCATTTCCATCAAATAAATTTTTCAGAAAGAATGTTAAATATTTAATTTTATAAGATTGGAGTTAAGAATTTGATCAGAATGAGTGGGCGGATTTTATCAAAGAATGTTCCTTATCTCTGCGGACAGGTACAGTTGTATTGTCTTTTAGATTTTTGATCCAAATAAATCATGTTTCGGTGGAAAAGAATAAGAAAAAAATAGTTAAAAAGATTACATTTTGACCAAAAAATTACTTTTAAAATTTGTTAGCAGTCCCTTTAACAAAAATATTTCCAGGTATCTGCTATGCTTGGAAACACAAGTATTTTTGTCAAGATTATCTGTCTTGTTGTCTTCTTCTGGTGAGTAGAGCTTTTTCCTTTTTTTGGAAAAATAAGAAAAATTTTAAATGAATTAAATTAGCAATGCAATCGATTCTAATAACTGGATGGTGTTTGATATGATTGATTCTTGGTGGTCAATTGTGAAATAAATTAATAAATATTGATTTGATTTAATCATAAGTAGAGTATGGAAATATTAGTTTTTTGAACTAGTGAGTTATGTTTTTCATATTGGTATTTGGTATTCAGAGCCCGCTAATTAAAAGCTTTGGCTCGGGTCGTATTTCTTTAAACTTAGGCTTGACTTAGGAGTTAGGCCCAATGAAAAAAAGGCCGACCTTGTTTGGTTTTAGTAGAGAATCTGAATAAGGCTCGATGTTCAGTCTTGTTCTCATAAAAACCCAGAATACGCCAATTCCTACCATGAAAATCCGCCAAATAGAATATGAAACCGGGTTTTTGAACTCAACTCTGTGGAAAATAAGATGCAGCTTGAGTCCGAAAGCTCAAGTCGTAAATAAGGCCCGGTGACAGCTTAGACCTGAGTCATATTTTCTTAAATTTTTTTTAATTTAAGAAAGAAATAATACAAAACTTTCTTTGTGTGGGATCTAAATGTAAAAGACGTCTATTTTTGGTTGTTTGTTCCGGAATAATCAAAAAAAGAAAATAGAATTAAACTTTTAGTTAATGTTTTTTTAGTTACTTTTTATCCTTCTCTGAAACCGCTGTGATCACCTTGTCAGTTACTCCAGGCAAGTTGATATAAATGTATAAAAAATTATATTGTAGTTAATGCATTTGCTTTTCAGTTCAATGTCTTTGCTTGCATTGTAAACCTTTTTTACACTGAGTTGAAACATACCCCTGCTGTACACTCAGTTTGGGCATTTACTTTGCTGTACAGTTTACACAGTATTTATGTATTTGCTCTGCAGTACATAAAGATGCATGATGGTTTTATTTGTAGTTGACATATTTGCTTTTAAGCTGATGTATGTTACATATCAAAACATCTGGGGGTGGCAGGGGGAGCAGTATATTCCCGACAACGGTCTGGGTTTTCCTTCAGCTACATAATGCAGTATAAACATTATAAACTTGATTTTCTAGGGTTTTCAGAGTCTGAATTTAATGAATTTGAGCCGCGTCTCAAATCCACCAAAACCTGTTTCAATTGAACGCCTCCTTAATTTTTAAAACATTGAATATAAGTTTTATTGGAACCAACTATAATTGATTCGCGTCTCAAATTTTAAACCCCCGGCTCAAATTCTATAAATTCGGCCTCTGATCAATTTTTTGTTGTATAGGTTATTTTAATCCCCCTCATTTCTGGATCTGGACAGCATTAACACACTGCTTCCTGGAGATACACTTCTGGGAGGTTCTGGTTGATATATTTACTATGCTTCTTGTTGGCAAACTTATAGGTAGGCAACTCACGAATTTGCGCAAATATTCCCGCTCAGGTAGGTAATTCAGAAATTTTGCGCAAATATTGCCACTCGGGTAGGTAATTAAGGAATTTGCGAAAATATTCCTGCTCAGGTAGGTAATTCAGGAATTTGCGCAAATATTGCCACTCGGGTAGGTAATTAAGGAATTTGTGCAAATATTCCCGCTCAGGTAGGTAATTCAGGAATTTGCACAAATATTGCCACTCTGGTAGACAATTCACGAATTTGCGCAAATATACAGAATATCATGTTACCCGATATTTATTACATGTAATCAGAAGTTTATATTTTTCAGAAAAAGTTGTCCTCTCCCCCACTTGAAAGTTGACATTATTTTTAGGACAATTATTCAAAAACTCAAAATGTTGGGGGAAATTTTTTTCTGAAAGGGAAATAAAATTTAATGAAAATTACACCTCTATTGAATCTCAAGGAACTTAGTGTAAAGATGGCAATGCCCAATTTACAACAACATCTTTGAAACCTGAGTCTGATATAAAAATGTGACTCAAAAAGTAGTTAATTCTGATAATTTTTCCAGTCTTTGTTTTAAGTAAGAAATGAGCAAGGCACTTATGCAGAGAAACCACAAATGAAATAAATAATTTTCAAAAACATAAACATGGAATTCTAATCCATACTTAACTAGACAATGCTTTCAAGGGTACTGTTGTGAATCGGGCACTGCCATCTTTGCATGGAGGATCACTTGAAATTACTCTTTCAGTCCCTTTTGAAAGTAAAAGTGAATTTTATTTATTTTATTTGTAGAACCTTTATGGGGAGCTTTGGAGATGGTGACTTTCTTCTTCATCATCAACAGGAAGAATATTCTCACAAAAATTGTTAAACTAATTCTGGTAGAAATGTTAATCAAATATTATTGCCTTTTGAGAAATAAAACCAACATGATTCGTCTTGTATAAATCATAACAGGGGCTTGTTGAAAATTATATCTAAGGTTGATAGCGGTATTGTGTGTTAGATTGTATATTGAGAATATATCTAAAGTGGGGTAGCTGTTTTGTGTTCTATATTCTACTATATTGTATATTGAGAATATATCTAAAGTGGGGTAGCTGTATTGTGTTCTATATTCTACTATATTGTATATTTAGAATATAAAATCTAAAGTTGGGTACCTGTATTTTGTTCTATATTCTACTATATTGTATATTGAGAATATAAAATCTAAAGTTGGGTACCTGTATTGTGTTCTATATTCTATATATTGTATATTGAGAATATAAAATCTAAAGTGGGGTAGCTGTATTGTGTTCTATATTCTTTTATATTGTATATTGAGAATATATCTAAAGTGGGGTAGCTGTATTGTGTGCTATATTCTCCTATATTGTATATTGAGAATATATCTAAAGTGGGGTAGCAGTATTGTGTTCTATATTCTACTATATTGTATATTGAGAATATAAAATCTAAAGTGGGGTAGCTGTATTGTGTGCTATATTCTACTATATTGTATATTGAGAATGTATCTAAAGTGGGGTAGCTGTATTGTGTGCTATATTCTATTATATCCTCTACATGTTCACTTTCAATACACAATTACTGTTCGATGTGCATATCCATGGGCTCTCTGGGTACCTAGCAGGTTTGTTGAATTTTGAAGTAAAACATAGTTTTTTAGCGTTAAAAAAACCGAAACTGGTCATATTTCTAATTTTTCCAACAATAATTTCTGAGCATATTAATTATGCAATTAGTAAAAAAAAAAAATATCTTTTTGTAACTTCTTAAAAACTGGTTATAAATTTAGCTTGATTTCCAAAAAACTTCTTGCCAATTAAAGCATGGGAGGTCCGGAACTTTCGAAGGCTTTAACTCAGTAACCAGGGGACAAAGGAGTCTGAAAGTTTGGATTTAATGTTTTAATTTTTAATTTTTAATCAATGACATTGACTTGCATGGTTCCTAAAAACTAGCTGACCCCTGTATTTACCCCTTTATAAACTGTAGGTGTGAGTATGGCAGTAAAGCAAATCATGCCAGACTTGATTCTCTTCAGGACACCACTAGGGACATAGTCAATCAATTAATCACAATCCACAAATTAATCCTGATTTATTTAAATTCAAATCATTAAATTATGTTTATTTTCCTTAAAATCTATTATTAGTCTTTCATACCAATAAAAACAATACTTTCTAGTTTATCAAAATATAAACTGATAGATTTATAACATTCAACCAACTAATCACATTTAAAGGGAGTGTTCGCGAACAATGAAAGGGAGTATAGGCTTGATGCGATAAAAAATCGCTTTTGATCGCTACTAATCTTACTTCTATCTGTTGCGTCCATAAGGAGAAAATTGTTAAAAACGACTAATACCGAAGAACGTAGTGTCCATACAAACTCAGAAAGATGCAACATTCAACTCGGATCGTAAACAAATCAATTTAATTCCAAACAAATCATTCAGATTTTTTTTTTTTGATTTTCGCTGGTGCTGGATTTTCGAACATTCCTGGAAAATATGAAAATGTCGTCTTCATTATCAAAAATCCTCGAAACAGGAAAAAATGTTTTCAAAAGTAACTCTCAGATCATGAAAAATACAAAATATTATGAAATATCAACTATTTAGCACTGTTCAATTTAACACATTCATGTGTTATGAGTCTTTTAACGAAGAACGATAATATATCCAATTAATATCATCTAATTTGATTACTGTGCCAGGGAAAATCACGAACAGAAACATTCCCTTGCTTGTCTTTGGGCTCACCTTCATCATGTGGGCAATAGGTAGGCTATAGGAGGCAGAAAAAAAATTAATATGCTGGAAAATCCCCCATGGAATTTTTTTATTTTTAAGAATCATATCTCTTTACTCTAAAACGACCATGCTATATTACGCTTGCTTCACTTCTAAAAGAGGACTGAAGAGGATATATATATCGAAAGTGCGAAAGTGAAGACCTCCAACAAGGACAATTTTTTTATCCACGGTTACCCACAAACATTGAGTCTTCAGAGACGACTGTACGGATTTTATACTGTCTGTTTCCTTATTCTTCATGGTTTCCTGAAACTATAAAATTCTTTTATTCTTTGCTTAATTGTTAAATAAACCGCTTAAAGACTACCTTTAAGGCAGACGACTTATTTCAACTTGGGATCGTCATATTTGAAGAGTTTCAGTCGTCTTTACAGTCTCATCCTTTGTGGGTAACTCGGTACGTTTTTACACTAGGAGTGAATTGGAGTGGTTTAATTTCAAAGACAATTCTGGGTTATATGTATTATCAATTATGTTTGATGAAAGCTCCATAGTATCAAATTTAACAATGAGACTCATCTACGTTTTTAAGATATTTTGAATTCATTTAATATCGAACCACAACAGTGCCAGTTTTGTATACCAATTTATATATTTTCCGAGTAGTAGTTAAAGGGAATGTAAGCGTAATTTTAAATGACCTTCAATGTGAAAATAGCAATGCCCGATCTGAAAAAAAATGTGGAAGATAACGTCGTTTTTCTGATTCGGAAAATGTATTTTTTTCTACGAATTTCACTTTTTTAGTGAACCCGCAAAATAAAAACTAACAGTTCACATAAACAAAAACATGGATTTCTAACTCTATTTGATTTGAATATTTTGTGGTCTGTATCTAGGTATGGTTGAAGGGTCCTACTGCACTATGTTTGGAACAGGGCTGGTTATATCCTGGACCTATCTCAGGTTTTACCAGGTATTCTAACAGTTTTTAAAGGGACTGTTACCTGACCCTTAGGTACCATTAACAGTACCCATGAAATATTAGTTTTCTTAGCTTTTCTGTCATTAATGGACCACCTGTGGCCGTTGATTGAAAATGATTTGGAATAGCTGAATAATATTAGATACCAACCAAGGCACTCCAGAGATTTAGAAAAAAAAAAAAAATTTAACGAATTGAAATGCGAACCAAATTCTAATTACTTCCGATAATTTTGAACAGACAACAATGTGTAAATGTCAGGATTGGGGAAATTGTGTGATTATTGTTCCAAGAATTATACATGTGAATATACATGTGAATGAAAGTAGGTTGACGACTAAAGATTTATGATTAAAGACGCTCTTTAAGTCATCTCTCAACTGACAGTGACACGTTTCGTGAAACAACCTTTACACACAAATATGATTTAGGTTCACAACAACGGAACCCGCGGGGATATGGCGGACAGTTTTGCATTCGCCACCCTGTTCCCTAACGTTGTTCAGCCTCCGCTCTCCATCCTCTCCAATCTCATCTTCTCGCTGGCGGTCAAGTGCAGGATCTGCAGGAAGCCGGTCAGGAGATACGATGTAGGAGCCCCTACAGGTACAGAGTATACTTATGCTCAATGCTGGCTGAGGTATATATTTTCTCGAAAAATCACCCCCCCCTCTCTTCTAAAATATTTTTTCCACAGTATATAAGGAATTTGTTGAGAAGTTGCCTCTTCTCTTCCTTGGGAAAATTAATGATTTTTTGGGTTAAAAAGTATAAAAAACGCTTGCCAGTTGATGTAATTTTTAATATTTTTTTCCCTAAAACTTTAAATTATTTAAATAATATACACCTGGTCCTGCATTCAGAATTGCATCAAAGAATTTAAAAAAAATCTGAAATATGAATTTTGATTATTCTGAAAATTTAGATTTTTCTTTATCAATTTGATTTCTTAATTCAAATCCCATTGTATTTTATTTTTAAAGAATACACAATTACCTCCTAAAACATGAAATTCATTATTTGATATATCAAAGATATCTGAGGCCGAATTTAAAGAATTTAAGCCGCGGCTTAAATTTGAGACGCGACTCAAATATGGTTGGTTTCACTAAAATTGTATTCAATGTTTCAAGATTATAGCCGGGGCTCAATTGAAACCGGTTTTTGGCGGATTTGAGACGCTGCTCAACTTCATTAAATTCGGACTCTGAACACATTTTTTTTTCAGATTTGGAGAAATAATATAACTAATCTCAAAACTATCACATGATAAGCAACGAAATAATTATGTTGATTGAGACATATATTCTTCTAGAAGATGACAAAATTCAAAATCTGAAGCAAATAAATGATTTAATATTTTATTTGATCAGGAATAACCATTTCCATTCCCGGAGCTGAATCCCAGGACTCGGAGCGCAGGAGACAAATTGCTCTGAGAGCACTTTCTGAGAGATTATCTAAGGCAAGAAATAATGAATAACAACAGTGGTCAGAATTTTAGATTAGCGAAAAGAATTATTTTTTCTTAGACGTCACAGAAGGGTAGTTACTAGTTATATTTTTTCTCATTAATTCATTCATTTTTTTCTTTTTAATTCATATATATTTTTTCTCATTAATTAATACATTTTTTTCTCATTAATTCATTCATTTTTTTCTTATTAATTCATTTATATTTTTTCTCATTAATTAATACATTTTTTTCTCATTAATTCATATATATTTTTTCTCATTAATTAATACATTTTTTTCTTATTAATTCATTTATATTTTTTCTCATTAATTAATACATTTTTTTCTCATTAATTTATATATATTTTTTCTCATTGATTAATACATTTTTTCTCATTAATTCATATATATTTTTTCTCATTAATTCATATATATTTTTTCTCATTAATTCATTCATTTTTTTCTTATTAATTCATTTATATTTTTTCTCATTAATTCATTTATATTTTTTCTCATTAATTAATACATTTTTTTCTCATTAATTCATATATATTTTTTCTCATTAATTCATTCATTTTTTTCTCATTAATTCATTCATTTTTTTCTCATTAATTCATATATATTTTTTCTTATTAATTCAAATATATTTTTTATCTTAGAATGACGCCTCTGGTTCACAGTGGCCATCCATGGAGGAACCTGAGAAAAGTAGCAGGTTTATTATTTTTTAGATTTATTTTATCATTTTTAATCTAGAAACTTTTCCTCTGACTTTTTAATGTTATTTTTGAAAAGGTGCAATACTGCATGGGGGTAAAAACAAAAATAGCTTGTTAAAAGAAAGTCATTTACTGCAGAAACTACAGTGCACATAATTTTATTTCCACTTGCTCTAACATTCCTTGTCTGTAATGAATAAATCCTTTTTTTAGGTGACATTTTCAGATTTTAATGTTGATTATAATAATGATAGTAATTATGATAATAATTTTGATATTGATAATGATTTTGATAATGATAATGAAAATGAAAATGATAATGATAATGATAATGATTTTGATAATGATAATGATTTTCATAATGATAATGATTTTGATAATGATAATGATTTTGACAATGATAATGATTTTGATAATGATAATAATTTTGATAATGATAATGATTTTGATAATGATAATGATATTGCTGATGATAATGATTTTGTTATTGATAATAATATATTAATATTTTTATTTAGTCCAACCAGTATTTCTGTTGAGTCCGGTTCTATCCCCGCCACCCCGTCCCCCAGCCCACATGGTGCACCTCAACCAGAACAACCTGCGCAGAAACCTGCGCAGGAATCATTAATTTAGAAATACGCAGAAGTCGTTTAATTTTGCGAAAAAACACAGGAACATCAATAAAAAGATGAAGCAGAAATAATGATTTAAAAATGCGCAAAAAAACAACAAACAAGAAAAACAAGAAATCTATCAAGAAAGTTCACATGTTCAAGCACTGTACTATTTTTCATTCAAACCTAATATTCTAATTTTTTTGGAAAAATCTTCTGAAAGCTGTACAATGTACATCGTTTATTCCGATTAGTGAAAATTGAATTAAATCACATTGCCGTTGGAATATGTTGTGCAGAAAAATAGAAAAATTCATGATTCTGTGTTACAAGTATGCTTTTTTTACGTTTTTATTTCTTGTGAAAAGTTATGTTTTTAGAGGTGGGGCATATTTTAGATACAGTTTTAACAACAACAAAATCTGGATAAATTGATGTAATAAGGAGTGTGCGAGTTTTGTTCGAACGGTTGGGGTTATATATATTAAAATTTATAGAACAAATTAAAATTCTTGACACCCCTCCTTGCTCTTGATTTACAGTTGTAATACATAAACTGAAAATGTGATATTTTTGTTTTTTCAGTTATAACTGTTGATATAAGTAAAACGTTTAATTTTTGTTGAATTTTTAAAAGTTCATGTCACGAATTAATGCACTATTAAAAACTAGCTGAGGGACCCGGCGTTGCCCGTGCAAAAAACAATTATGAAAAAAATTCTAGTTTTCTTTAGCCTATAACACGCCCGAGCCACCCTTGAGTGTCCAAAAAAAATTCAGCCCAATCGGTCCAGCCGTTTGGCCGGCTATACGCAACATATATATGAATGTCTTGTTTTAATATATAGATAAAATTTTTTAATTCGTTGCTAAAAAAATACCTTAAAGCTTTTAAATAGTTTTAAACACAGTTTGATCAAAATTGCACGTGCACCGTTTTACCTGTGTTTGATTTGAATAATTAATATTTTAATTGCTACATTTAAATCTAACAAAATGACCGACTATAACATTGGAAAAATGAAGTTATAAGCTTTTCATTGTACAATATGTCAATACAATAATACATTCCTCTACCTAAACGTTGTAACTTTACTTAATATTTTGTAAATATTAAAAATGAAATTAGAAGGCACATGCTTGAAAAAGTCTAGCCTTGTAAGAATAGAGAAAAAAAACAAAAAAAAAAGTTTTTTTAACTTACTGTTTTATATTTATAGAGAATTTGAATGTGATAATGAATTTATTTTTATTTAGTGAAATGAGTGAAATCAGTCCAAACAATTATTAATTTAAAACATTTAACAAAAACATAATAATTAACTGTCAATAATATAAGCTGTGTTCGACACTTGTGTGTAAATTACCGTTAATTTTGAGCGCTTAATCTCGATATCTAATGAAGGCCCTTTTAAATTTGAGGATCAATGCTTAATCCTGTTAGGGTATAACCACCATGGGATATCGAAAAGAAATGTGATTTATCTGGAGGTCTGCATAAGATGAAGATCAGAGGCTTGATCCTGTGATTCACAACATTAAAGTTCTGAGCTGAAAACTTTAGAATGAGGTATCCTTAATCCCGATCGGTTAATTAATCGGGAGATTAAAAACAAGCTAAGAACAAGCTTTATTTAATCTGGAGATTAAGGGAAAAAATTAATCCCGATATCAACCATTCAAAAGTTCCCAGCTCTGGTCAATTAATCCTATGTTAAGTTAATCCATTATCCTAGATGTCAACTGTGCGATTGATCAGCTAAAAAATAATTACCGTGTGTTTAATCCATTAAAAAAATCAGATGTTAAATTTATTTGATACTTGAGTTGTTTTAAAAAAGCTGTTTGATAAATCATATTAAAGAACTTGTAAATCAACAGAATTATAAAACAGCTGTTTTGAAAATCAGCTGTTCAAAAAACCAGCTGTTTTTGAAGTCTGCTATTTAAAAAACAAGCTGTTTTTAAAGTCTGCTGTTTTGAAAACCAGCTGTTTTTTAAGTCTGTTGTATCAAAAAAAAATAAGTTTTTTCAAGTGGTTTCAGATATTGCATTTGTTAGCTGCTACATTTTGTTTTTAAGTGTACACTTTGGTTTATAGTATACATGTACACATTGACCTTTTTCAGACGAAATGTGCTCAGCAGATATCGACAACTTGGTGATAAGGTAACTAGGGGGAGGGGGGAAGTATTTCTCTCTCTCCGAGAACTTTTTTTATACCAGTTTTCAATTGTATAAATGTACAGTGTACACAATGTAGATCGCTTAAAAACTGCTTGGGAGTTTTCCCAGGGCATATTTAGGACTTGTTGGCACTTAGTTACTATTTAAAATGAATGTGAGAAAATAAAATTTAAAATTCGATTTTATAATATATATATATTTCAGTTTGAAGATAAGTCTCAAGGCGTTTAAGGTATTCAATCAATTCATCAAAATATCTTGACATTCCTTTTCCAAAAACTTTTTTCTCAACTCTCTACTATTTTGTTTTTTTGATCTGTTGCGATTAAAACTTATTGTGATGCATAATGCATATTGTATAAATTATCAAAATCGACTTCAGGAAAATTTGTTCATCATAAACGTCTGATCTCTTTATCCAATATGGGCAATTTTATTGATTATCAATGCTTGATCCTTTGATTAAAGTTATCACTGCAGGGAAAGCTATCAATGGATATCGAATAGGAATAAAATTAATCCTTCTGAATTAGATGGTGATCAATGCTTGATCCTTTGATTAAAGTTATCACTGCAGGGAAAGCTATCAATGGATGTCAAAGATTACTCTCTCTACATAAGATGGTTGATCCCGAGATTCACGTTTCACAATTTCACATTTAAGGATATCCCATTCTAAAGTGCTCAGCTCTGGAGTCAGAACTTTAATGTTTTGAATCTCAGAATCAAGCCTCTGATCTTCATCTTATGCAGATCTCCAGATAAATCAAATTGCTTTTCGATATCCCATGGTGGTTAGACCCTAACGGGATTAAGCATTGATCCTCAAATTTAAAAGTGCCTTAAAAGTTCCGATCTCTGATCATTCTGAAATGTGGTTTGTATCAATTGGCACTCTCAATATGTCAAACATTTGTCAAACATTTTGGAAATCCCATTATATTATATTGTGGATGTGGTTATTGTTATTTTTGGTATGATTATTTTATGTTTTAGTACTGCCTGGTGTGTGGGACGAGTTATAATGGAAAAATAGCTTTAGCGTTTAATCATTTTCTGTCATCTACCTGCTTCTCCGCAAATCAAAGGTAGAAAATCAAATGCTAATAACATTTCCAAAGGCAAAATTTGCCCAGGTACAATTTCCCAAAGGCAAGGAAATCTCTAGTAAAGTTTCAAAGTTGCAAATTCCTAATGGCAATTTCTCTAGCTACAATTTCTCTAGCTTCAATTTTTCAAAAGGCATTTTCTGAATGATCCATTCCGGAAGGGTAATTTTCAAAAATATCCTAGCCACAGCTCTATCCATAGAGAATAGAATATATATTAGAGGGGAATTTAGAGAATCTCTCGGTATGAATTTTTTCAGTCCCTTTCAGCCTGAAAGGGAGTTCAAAGTGTACAAATCATGTAAATGTTCACAAATTATATGCAGTAGAGTACATTAATAAAGTATGTTCCCTAGACTATTCATTTCGATTTCGAATTTTTTAAAGCTGTTAAATAAACTTTATAATGAATTAGGTGAATAAAAAACATCATTTGATTTATAGTTATAACGGAAAATCATCGTTTGTAAAGTGAAAGGCATAGAGTTTATGTGAAATGATCATTGGTCAATTATGAAACCAGCCTATTTCATAATTTGGTTTTCTTTTAACATTAATTTTAGATTTTCTATAAAATGATATTCCAGGGCCCAAAAGGTTATAAAGCCTAAATATGTGAAGTACACCTGCAGTATGGAAACAGTACAACAAAATGGCCGTTTTACACGTTTTTCTAGTAAATTCCCCTCTAATATATATTCTTTTTTCTTTGGCTCTATCGTAATATTTTTTCATGAAAATTCTCTTTAAAATAGGTAAGAAAATTCACATGGAAATATTACATCTGGGAATTAGTCACTTACTGTTAAAACAATACATATTAACTGTAACTAACTTTGTTTTAGTGTATTTGAACTTGAGATTCTGCCTTCCGTTGATACTCAGGAGGAGAACAATTTTGTTAAAGCTGAACATGATCTACATGAAGATGAACCTGATCCACATGAAGATGAACCTGATCCACATGAAGCTGAGTTTAATGATCCTAATCCTGAGAACTCTGAAGAGGGTTTGAAACCTAAAGATGAGAATAATTCAATTTATGATGAGGAGGCAAGAGAACTTCAAAATCAAACTGAAAACTTCTCTCCAGCAAATGACGATGATAACTTTTTCTCTGATGATGATGAAATTGCACCAATTGACGGAGATGAACCTGATGATTTAATTACTGAAGATCTTAACTCTCTCCCAAGGTTAGAAATGCTTTCTGGTGTTAGAATTTTTACTTTTTACTAATCAGTAATCAGCTGACTCCTAGCTAATCAGCTGACTTCAATTCCTTAGAAATTATAATAAGAAGCAACATTACAATTACTCAACACAGAAACTACGTATTGTTACAAGGACAATTTGACTTCAGATAAAAAGGTTTAAAAAATTGATTCAATGTTAAATGTTTAGAAATGTAGTTCCTTGTGATGAATGTGATTCCTATTTCTCCAGCAACATACAGCTAAACTATCACAGACAATTCACACACAGGAATGAATTGACGACAAATCACATGTTGTGCTTCTTTTTTGAAAAATATTTTGGTAGAAACCTGATTCACCAAGTTTGTAATGATGTTTCGTTTTTGTGACACTTATGATTGTGTTTTAAGGGCAAACAGGTTTTGATTGATGGTTCGCCACTTGGATCCGGACTTAATGAAAAAAGTGTATTGTGCAATATTTTTGGGAAATATGTTCGTCAATTATTAGAGAAAGTTTTTCCTGTGACATCTGTGAAGAAGTGTCTGGCGATCTATCTGATTTGATGAATCATATCAAGAGCAGGCATAAAAACGTTGTTTCTTGTTTTCTCTGTCAGCTTGAAATAAAGGTTTGTTAAATTAACTTGGATTGGGATGGGACAAAAATTACCGCGAACTGAAAATTTCTGGAAAAGTTTCGTTCATGAATTGAAAATCCCTCGTTAAAGGCGATATTTACAATTGTGTACGGCCTTAAAAGCTATGTCAGATCAAGTATAAAGTATATATACATGTTTTTGTTTCAATAAAAAGTTTATTTTAATTTCCTGATTCTCTGCGAAAATGACTTTTCTTGCTTATAAGAAGTAGCGTGCCCCATTTTTCAGTCCGACTTTCCACAATTAACTCTCAGGCTAATATAGTTCTCTTCAGCTATCACAAGAATTTTTTTAGACCATTGGGAAGTGGTCGTGCAAGGCCCTTGCAGATCGCAAAAAAAGTCTTCATAGCTCAAAAAAAATATTTCTAGAATTTATCATGTTGTACGTCATTTTCTATCAATTGTCTAAAAAGATCAAATCCGTTGAAATTTTTCAAAAATTTCAAAATTGACTGAGTTTTTTGGAGGTTTTTTTAACCTAACGCAGTCAATTGTTGTTTTAAAAATTTCAACAATTGACTGATATGACATGACAAATTCAAAAAAAATTTTGTTTGAGCTATGTAGACTTTTTTACGAGCACTACCTAGAGGTAAATAAAATATCCTGTGAAAACTGACACCATAGAGAACAATATTAGCCTGAGAGTTTTTTGTGAGACAATATTTCTATATTTTGTTGCAAACTGGGGAACCCTAATAAGAAGCAATGAAGGAAGCATCAGAATTAAACAGTTTTCAGTAAACCTACGGTATCTTTCACATTTTCAATCATATCAAGGGTACCGTTTTTATTGGACATTGCCATCTTTGCATTTAAGTCGATCAAAATTACTTTGAAGTGACAAGAAAATAAGATTTGAAATTTTTTCCAGGATATTCATCGACATCTCAAATCTCACATAGGAAAGAGGGAATTTAGTTGCAGTTTCGAGGGATGCAGTCAGAGGTAGGGTAGGGTGCATCATTTTGAGTTGATATTTCATAGTATTTTTTTATGATCTGAAAGTTACTTTTGAAAACATTTATTCCTGTTGCGAGGATTTTTGATAATGAAGACGACATTTTCATATTTTCCAGGAATGTTCGAAAATACAGCGCCAGCGAAATATCATTTTAAAAAACTAAATCAAAACTATAATGAAATATAAACTATTTAAATGATTTGTTTGAAATTAAATTGATTATTTTACGATCCGAGTTGAATATTGCAACTTTCTGAATTTGTATGGACGCTACGTTCTTCAGCATGAGTCGTTTTTAAAAATTTTCTCCTTATAGACGCAACATATAGAAGTAAGATTAGTTGCGATCAAAAGCGATTATTTTTCGCCGTAAGTCTATACCCCCTTTCATTTTTCGCGAACACTCCCTTTCAGTTTACTTTTATTACATTAAGCTAAATATTGTTTCTAACCAAGGATATATTAACCGAGATGATTTTTCATAAAGATTTATCAAATCTTTTGAAAAATATTTTCAAAAATCTGGTTAATATCCTTGGTTAGTGTAAACCCTTGGATAAAGTAATAAAAGGAAACTAATTTTAAAATAGGTCAAATATCACAGATTTTTGAAGAGTTGGTTGAAAATCGAATAACCTTTGGACGTTTAAAAACGGACCTCAAGGGATGCCCTTCAATAGTAGCGTTGAGTCACAGCTGATCGCTGGATCATTAATATTATGGGTTTTTGGACTAGATTATCAATAGATTTATGGATTTATGGACTAGACTATCAATAGATTTATGGATTTATGGACTATATTAGCATTAGATTTATGGAGTTATAGACTAGATTGTCAATAGATTTATGGATTTATGGACTAGATTATCAATAGATTTATGGATTTATGGACTAGATTATCAATAGATTTATGGATTTATGGACTAGATTATCAATAGATTTTTGGATTTATGGACTAGATTATAAATAGATTTTTGGATTTATGGACTAGGTTATCAACAGATTTATGGATTTATGGACTAGACTATCAATAGATATATGGATTTATAGGCTAGATTATTAATAGATTTTTGGATTTATGGACTAGGTTATCAACAGATTTATGGATTTATAGACTAGATTATTAATAGATTTATGGATTTATGGACTAGGTTATCAATAGATTTATGGACTAGATTATTAATAGATTTATGGACTAGATTATTAATAGATTTATGGACTAGATTATCAATAGATTTATGGATTTGGAATAAAATTGGTTTCAATTTTAATTTCATTCTAATAGAAAAAAATATCTTGGAAATATTCTGAATTTTTTAGAGAAAATCCGGGAACCAATCCAAACTTTTTAGCACACGTGCTATAATATACAGCTAATTTAACTTCGTAGCACGATGATTACTTTTTAGCACGTTTATTATGAAATTCATGATAAGGTGAGGAAGAAAGTACTCAAAAGGTTCTTAAAAATTATTAATGAATTGACTAAAAAATATCATTAAATGGTTGAATATATTGGCAGGTTTGTGCATTCTGAGAGTGTATTAAAGCATGCCCGAGTGCATACCGCTAAGCAGTTTTCTTGTCGTATTTGCAGCATGCTTCTAGCCAAACCAGCATCGCTGAGGTAGGTCAACCTGAGCTGGGAACTTTTGTATTGTGTATTTCTAGATCAATGCTTGATAGAGATCTTTTCTTAATCTGCAGATTAATTTAGTCTTTAATCTATATCGCGCATCTTCTGTTTAGAAACCATCTGAGTGTGATCCATGGTGTAGAAGATACTTTCCAGTGTGGATACTGTCTACAGTGGTTCAGGGATACTTTGTCATTTATCTCCAGTGTCCGAAATTAATGAATTTGAGCCGCGTCTCAAATCCGCCAAAAAGCGGTTTCAATTAGGCACCGGCTTAAATCTTAAACATTAAATACAATTTTAAGTAAAACCAACCAAATATTTGAGCCGCCGCTTAAATTTAAGTCGCCGCTCAAATTCTTTAAATTCAGTCTCAGGATTCATTGTTATGTAGCACTCTGACATAAAGAGACTGTAAGCATAATTATAAGTGACCCTCCATGCAAAGATGGCAATGCCCGATTCACAACGGTACCCTTGAAACCTTAATCTGATGAAAAATGTGGAAGCTACCGTAGTTGTTCTGACTCGAAAATATCCGCAAATAAAAATAAATAGTTTTAAGAAACAAAAAAAGCGATATCTAATCAGATCAGACATAGCTTTTAATGAAACCGTTGTAAATCGGGCACTGCCATCTTTGCATTGACGGACACTTGAAATTACATTGCCCTTAGTCAAAGTGCCGTAAAAGCTCATTTAAAATCTAATAACGCTCTAACCCTTATAAATATTTTTCTGAATTCTGCACTCTTGTTCCATGATAAGTGAATAGGTACTATTTTTATTTAAATGTATCTTTAAACAGAATTATTGAAAAAGTTACAGCAACGAATCTAAATATGCACTGCCCAATATATCTCCCCGATATCTAGACTTTTTAAAAAGTCTGAAGAAAAAATTTCGCTAATCATAAAAAAATCAGAATAATATTCATTTTGTGCCTCATTTTCATATTCATGTCTCATGAATATTCCCTTGATTCCAAATTTTATAAATGACAAGTTATGAATTAGATCTCATAAGAATCTAGTCGAACACACACAATCTGACCACTCCTCTTCAGCTCAGAACAAGGTGAAAATTAAACTTATTTCAATCCCCCCCCACACACACACCTTTAATCAAGTTTTTTTTTGTTTTGTTTTTTTACCTGAGCCAATTACTGGTTAAGCTTTATTTGTTTCTGAACATTTTGAACCAATCAGAATTCAGGAAAATTCCTCAGGAACTAATCAGAGTTCAGGAAAATTCCTCAGGAACCAATCAGAGTTCAGAAAAATTCCTCAGGAACTAATCAGAGTTCAGGAAAATTCCTCAGGAACTAATCAGAGTTCAGGAAAATTCCCCATGAACAAAGCAGAGTTCAGGAAAATTCTTCAGGAACCAATCAGAGTTCAGGAAAATTCCTCAGGAACTAATCAGAGTTCGGGAAAATTTCTCAGGAACCAATCAGAGTTCAGAAAATATGCCAAGTTTTATCGTAGCCATTGAGATTAAAGAAACTCTTACAGAAAAAGTAGTTGAACCACTCGCACCTAGTTCAATATTCTTCTTTTAATCTTAATCTCAGGACATTGGTAATCAAAATAAAGGAAAAGACCCCAAATTTCTATAATTTCTTTCATAAATATAATTACTAAACGTGACGGAAAGCGTAATTTCCATGCAAAGATGGCAATGCCCTATCACAGCGAAACGGTATTCTTAAAAGCTTTGTCTGATCAGGTATAAGTTAGATACCAATATTTTTAATGTTGAAAAACTGAATATTTTTAACTGTGGTCTTTCTACATAAGTGACTTGTGCATTTCTCCTGCAGGAAAACATGAAGGAAATATCAGATTTAAACAGTTTTCAAGCTAGAAAAGCTACAAGAACTTCCTCATTATTAATCAGATAAAGGATTCAATTCATGTGAGAGGTTCACTTGAAAATACGCTAACAGTTCCTTTAAATCTTAGTTATTTCGTAAACAGCTGCACTAATAAACTTAGAGAACGTTAAAAATTTAAGAGACCAAGAACGCCCACACCCAACCCCGAACTGACAGAAAAAAGGGAGGGACCCCCAAACCCCACCAATAGAAACCGCGAACCGGCCCCACTAGGGACGCAGTACGCAACAGCTGACAGTAAACCTGCTCTGTACCGGGCAGAGTCAGCGTACAACACCTCTAACCCCCCTACACCCAGGGGCACTGGGGGCCTAGAATAAGATAAACTTAGAGAACGTAAAAAATTTAGGAGACTTCTCCGACTTTTATAATTTTAGGTTCCTTGCGAAGAATGTGGAGTAAAATTTACCTCTAAAGGTAACTGTGAAATGTTTTATAAAGTTTTCAGAATCGGAAGTTTTTTAAGTTGTCATCCATAATTATTTGATTAATAAACGTTAACAGTACAATTTTGGATAAAATTATGGCAACATTTTCAATTCAACATTTTCGATCAAGTGAGGGAAAATCAGCTGCAGATCTTTTTGAAAAGCAGCGAACCCAACTTTCAAAATTCATGAACTCAATCCTTTAAAGGACTGTACTTCCAAATGACTCCATGTGTATACTAAACTGAATAGTGTGTTATTTCTAATTCACAAGTTACCCTGAAAGGGAGTGACCGGCAATGTGTGGTAGTTGAACTAAACATGTAGTATTGTGGGAAAACATTTTAGGAATCATTTGAGACATATAAAACGTTTCCACGATGTATAATTACTGAGTTTGAGCGCAAAGTCGACGTTCAAAATCATCAATTTGGTTGGGTACATTTTGAGAATCGAATTTTTAAAATTATTGAATAAGGACGACGAAAATCGTAACAAAAATTTTACAGTAAACTAATTTGATATCTAGGAACATATTTCTCAAAAGAAAGGAAATGAGTCTTTGCCACAAATTTTGATTTTCTAGTTCTCATATCTTTGCAACCCAAAGTCGTAGATTTTAGATATTTCAAACTATGAATTATGTTAGATCAAATAATCCAAGTTTAAAATATCAAAGGGTTTTATCATCAGGTTGCAAAGTAATAGGTATCAGAATATTTGTTTTTGTAGCTAAGACTCAATGTCTTTGTCAATAAATCAATGTTAGAATAAATTATTTCGTTCATTCTTTACTAATTTGTTCGCAGATTTTTACAAATTCTTCAAATGTCGTTTTTTCAATAAAAATTCCGGAAAATCTACAGAATATTAGTGTGAAGAATGAGAGATTACAGAATCTAATAACTGAATAATATTACTTATTTTCGATGATAAGAGTTAATTTTTATTTTCTCTACATGTTACTAAACAACTGCTAATTTTTGTTACATTTTTTGTCGTCGTTATTTAATAATGAAAAAAAAAATGGGTTCTCAATATGTACCTACCCAAATTGATGATTTTGAACGTCGATTTTGTGCACAAACTCAGTAATAATACGTCGTAGAAACATTTTAAATTTTAATTTCCACAATACTACGTTTTCAGTTCAACCACCATTCATTGCCGGTCACTCCCTTTCAAAGCTTTGTCTGATCTTGTACTAATAAGGTTTTCATGTTTTTTTTCTTTTTTTCAACTGATTATTTTTTTCTGTGGTTTTTTCAAAATTGACTTGCGCATTGCCGCTTCAGAAACAATGCTCCATATTATTGATCAGATAAAGGGTTCAAGGGTACTGCGGTGAATCAAACATGCAACTTTTTTTAATGGAGGGCTCTTTAAGGTCTGCAAGAGCACCTAAGAAAGAAGCACTCTAAACCCAAGAAGGCAAGAGGACGGAAGCCTTGTTCTGGAAAGAAGAGGAAGAGATCAGGGAAAGATAAATCTGAATCCTCTGATCGAATTCTAGGTAAGAATTATTCCGTGAAATATGTTTGAAAAAAGATATATTTTGAATATTGTGTATATTTTTTTTGGATATTTTATATATATTGTATATTTGTCAGGTGGTGTTATTTAAAAATGACAAATGCTTAACACATGATATTAGGTTCTAAAAAAATTATATTATTATTGATGAAAATCCTTTCATTCTTTTTTTAATTGGTTCTATGTACTTCTTCTTAGTTCTCTATGTAACCGTCTTTTAATAAATATCGCCGATCTATAATGTACATTTTGCATAGTAGCGCCGAGCGGGAGTTAAATCCAACAGGGCAAACACCAAACAACAAAATAAAAATAAAACGCAAATTTTCATCTTTAAAAAAATGAAAATAATTAATTAAAGAATTAATTTTTAATAAGAATTACTTTCTTAATCATTTTTTTTACTTAGAAGAGGCTGTAAACCGGGAAGATATTATCACGTGTCCAAAGTGCGGAGCCGCGTTCAATTCTGAGGAAAAGGACTTGGCAAACCACCATCTTGCATTATGTGAAATAAGCGTAGAAAGGTAAAGGGCTACTCACAAAGGATGAGACTGTAAAGACGACATTAAATTCTTAAAATATGACCATCCCATGGATAAATTAAGTATTCTGTATTGAATTGAGTCTTTCATTGCTTTATGGGTTGACAAAGAAAGAAACAAGTTTACAATCACAATCATGAATATAAGGAAACATACGGTATAAATTCCGTACAGTCGTCTCTTAAACCTCATTTATTACGGATAACCCTGTGATNCTTATTTCAAAACCAGAAAGTTATTTTACTCATAGTAGTATCTTAATTTGAATTTATAGGATTTAGTAATAAAGAATTATTTGGGATAGATTAGAAATTTGAAAATACGTAATTTCATTTTAATTATTAACTATTTATTACTTTCCCTAACCAAGGATGCATGGAATATTAATCATGTTGTTTTAAAAAATCGATTATTTTCCATTCGGATTTTCTGTACAGTGACTTGAACATTTAAGCGTTAATAAACACTGGAGGAAATTATCAGAATTTAACACTTTTCAAGCTAGAAACATGACGATGTCTTGCACATTATTCAATAGACAGAGTTTAAAGGGTGCCGTTGTAAATCTGGCATTCCCCTATTAAATGGAAGCACTCTTGATAACCAGATCGGAGTGAGCAGGAGCTCAACACGTGACATACATCCCAATAAACATGGGAATTGAGAGACGACTTGAATATCGTCTTTGATTTCTGATAATTGATACTTGACATTAAGTGCATCAAAAAAAGATTTCTAATGAGCTTTCCAAAATGTGGGCTACCTTCTTTGTATCTTTTAAAATAACGGAGAAATTAAACATTTGAACAGNGGTCAACCCAGACCGAAATATATTTTCAATAAATGTGGAACTAACATCTACTTTTTTACTCTACAGAGGTTTGGTCCATCACCATCACTGAATTTTAAATAATTACTTAATACTTGAGTATAAGAATGTTATGTATGCATAAACGGGGCCGTGTATGCATGAAAAGTGCTTAAATATGATTGATTAAAACTGTACAAGGACCCTTCACTTTTATAACACTTGTCATGAAAAAATATTGATTATTTAGCATAATATATATATTTATTATTTGAATTGCTGTTGTATAAGAATATATTTATTTATACTAGCTTGGGAACCCAGCTTTGCTTATCAAAGAAAAAAAGTCAACCCACTCAACTTAGTATTTTAAACCCAGCTCAAACCATTCTCTTGGTTCTCCAGAGTTCCCCCATCAAAGTTTGTGGCAAATCGGTCTTGAGGTTTATAAGCTATGACTGGAAATCAAAACAGACAAACAGAGATTTCTTTACATATAAACTAGCTTGAGAATCCAGCATTGCCCAGGGTACTCACAGTTATTCCCGCCGTTAACCCGCGCTTAGTCGTAAACTACGATTTTAGCAATTTTTTCCTATAAAAATAGACCCACTCAAATTAGAATATCTAATCCAAGCTAAGAACATTTCAGTGGTTCTCCTGAGTTACCCAATCAATATTTGAGGCAAATCGGTCTAGTGGTTCATGAGCTATTACTACTTAAACTATATTGATATATACAACTATTTTCTGATTTCAGGATTTTGTCGGTTTCAGTTCACATCTTACAAACTTTCATAAAGGAGAGAATCTCAGGTTAGTTTTCTTAAACTGGTAATGTTCTTTACTTGTCCTTCTTCATATGTTTTATTTTTTCGTTTCCTTTTTCTTCTTTGTTTTTATTTTATATCTTCTCCTTTTTCATGTTTATGTACTGGACATGTTTAGAGTAGTTTGTTGAGTGTACTGTACATGTTCAGGGTGGTTTGTGTATGTACTGTACATGTTCAGGGTAGATTGTGTACTGTACTGCTGTACATGTTCAGTGTAGTTTGTGTAGTGTACTGTACATGGTCAGGGTAGTTTATGTACTGAACTGTACATGTTCAGGGATGGTTTGTGTAGTGAACTGTACATGTTCAAGGTGGTTTGTTTACTGTACTGTACTTTACATGTTCAGGGTGGTTTGTGTATGTACTGTACATGTTCAAGGTAGATTGTGTGCTGTACTGTACATGTTCAGTGTAGTTTATGTAGTGTACTGTACATGTTCAGGGTAGTTTGTGTACTGTACTGTACATGTTTAGGGATGGTTTGTGTAGTGAACTGTACATGTTCAGAGTGGTTTGTTTACGGTACTGTACTGAACATGTTCAGGGTGGTTTGTGTTGTGTACTGTACATGTTTAGGGTAGATTGTGTACTGTACTGCACATGTTCAATGTAGTTTGTGTAGTCCACTGTAAATGTTCAGGGTAGTTTGTGTACTGTACTGTACATGTTTAGGGTAATTTCTGTACTGTACATGTCCAGGGTAGTTTGTGTACTGTACTGTACTTTTTTAGGGTAGTTTGTGTTGTGTACTGTACATGTTCAGGGCTGGTTTGTGCAGTGAAATGTACATGTTCCAGGTTCTTTGTGTACTGTACTGTACTGTACTGTACTGTACATGTTCAGGGATAGGTTTATTAAACTTGTTTAGATTGAAGGCTCAGAGAAATAAACGTTCGGAACCTTACTATCTTCCTTTTTATTATGAAGAGCGTTGAGAGAAGGGAGTCTTACGATCCAATCCTGAGAAATACCACACGGTACATATATTAGGTCTTTAGGGAAATCGCTAAGTAGCGAAACACTTATATCCTTCAACCAGGTTTAGTTCAAATCCTACATATATATCTTGCACATCTTCTCTTATATCCTTAAACCAGGTATAGTTCAAATCCTACATATATATCTTGCACATCTTGCCTTATATCCTTCAACCAGGTATAGTTCAAATCCTATATATATATCTTGCACATCTTGCCTTATATCCTTCAACCAGGTATAGTTCAAATCCTACATATATATCTTGCACATCTTGTCTTATATTCTTCAACCAGGTTTAGTTCAAATCCTACATATATATCTTGCACATCTTCTCTTATATCCTTTAAACAGGTAATTTATTTTTAATAGTAAATTCGGCGATTTTTAAGAAATGATTGCAAATTGTACTACAAGTGCAAACTTGTTTTACATTCTCTTTTCCATATATTTTTTAAAAATGTTAAAACTCAGCGTTTAAAATTATATTTCTGTGTTCCAAACCTATTTTGAAGAATATATTTATTTATACTAGCTTGGGAGTCAACCCACTCAACCCAGCCTTGAAAAGTATTTATTTTGCTCTTGTCCATCCTCACTTTTTACATTGCTTACTAGTTGTGAGCTGTACTAGTCAAAACAGTATTAATTCTCTTAAACAAAAAAGATGTATTAGAACAATTGCTAAAGCTAGATAAAATGCTCATTCTGAACCTCTATTTTAAGAATTAAAAATACTCCCTTTCCCGGACCTTTTCTTCATTAAAAACTTTCATTCATGCACTCCATAGCTTTTAGTTACTCCCCTCTTTCTTTCTTTAAGCATCCAGTGTTCCCCAGTATTAGATATTGAGATGCACAAATACCCCTTAAGATATCGAGATCAATTTTTTATTCCCAGATGTAAAAACTTATTTTTAAATAGATTTCCTCTGTATTCCTTCACAACCTGTTGGAATGTATTTGTAAACTCGTTCTGTACACAGATACATGTATTTTAGCAATAAACTTTATCTTATCTTATCTTATCTTATCTTATCTTATCATCTTATCTTATCTTATCTTATTAACATTTGTATGTATGTACATTGTAAAAACTTGTGGCCTAATAAATGATTTGATTTGATTTGAACTTAGAATTTTAAACCCAGCTCAAAACATTCCCTTGGTTCTCCAGAGTTCACCCCATCAAAGTTTGAGGCAAATCGGTCAAGAGGTTCATGAGCTATGACTGGACATCAAAACAGACAAACAGAGATTTCTTTACATAAAAACTAGCTTGAAACCCCAGCGTTGCCCAGGGTGTTCATAGTTATTCCCGCCGTTTACCCGCACTTGGTCTTAAACTACGATTTTAGCAATTTTTTCAAATTAGAAATTCAAATTAGAATATCTAATCCAAGCTTAGAACGTTCCTGTGGTTCTCCTGAGTTACCCAATCAATATTTGAGGCAAATCGGTCTAGGTGTTCATGAGCTATTACTACTTAAAATATATTGATATATACAACTATTTTCTGATTTCAGGATTTTGTCGGTTTCAGTTCACATCTTATGTGTAGTGAACTGTACATGTTCAAGGTGGTTTGTGTACTGTACTGTACTGTACATGTTCAGGGTGGTTTGAGTAGTGTACTGTATATGTTTAAGGTGGTTTGTGTACTGTACTGTACATGTTCAGGGTGGTTTGAGTAGTGTACTGTATATGTTCAAGGTGGTTTGTGTACTGTACTGTACATGTTCAGGGTGGTTTGTGTAGTGTACTGTACATTTTCAGTGTGGTTTGTGTACTGTACTGTACATGTTCATTGTTCAGGGTAGTTTGTGTACTGTAATGTACATGTTTAGGGTAATTTGTGTACTGTACTGTACATGTCCAGGGTAGTTTGTGTTCTGTACTGTACTTGTTTAGGGTAGTTTGTGTTTTGTACTGTACATGTTTAGGTTATGTATACTGTACTCTACATGTTCAGGGATGGTTTGTGTAGTGTACTGACATGTTCAGGGTGGTTTATGTAGTGTACTGTACTGTACTGTACATGTTCAGGGTGGTTTGTGTCGTGTGCGGAGCGGAGCTTGGAATGGATTCAGTCAGACAACATTATACCTATCATGTTGGAGACAGAAAACACAGGTATAGTTATTAACTGTGGAACTTGGGAATTTTTTTTATCTGGAATCATTTCTATCTTCCTAGTGTCATTTTTAATTGTATAATTTTGTTAGCAAGACGGCCATTTCTTTTATCTAATTTATTTTTCAAACATCATTCTTAAACAGTGTACTTTTATTTTGTGAAACTTATGTTATGACTCGTCTCTATCGTTTACAACTTTCAACAATTCTTATTTTTAATAATTTTGTTAACAGAAGGTGACATTTTTGTATTTGATAGACATCAGGATTTACCAATCTGTACACTGGACAGAATATGGTATTGCTACATCTTTTTTTACTAGCATTTCCTGTAAAAGGACTCTAAAGTGAATACTCTTAATTTTGTGGCATGTTTGATTCGCAATGAGTTTCTAAAATAAAATAATAATTTTTTTTCCTGTCAATCATCAAACCTTTGAAATCTGTTTAAATTCTTGTTTTGAAAGAAAAGATGTTTATAATCAAAGTCTTGTTTTAGCTGTGTGTCCTGTGGACTGAAATTTATGGAATCTAGGACTTTAAGGTAGAAAGCAAGGATTTCTCAAAAATTTATGGAATCTAGGACTTTAAGGTAGAAAGCAAGGATTTCTCTAAAATTTATGGAATCTAGGACTTTAAGGTAGAAAGCAAGGATTTCGCGAAAATTTATGGAATCTAGAACTTTAAGGTAGAAAGTAAGGATTTCTCGAAAATTTATGGAATCTAGGACTTTAAGGTAGAAAGCAAGGATTTCTCTAAAATCTATGGAATCTAGGACTTTAAGGTAGAAAGCAAGGATTTCTCTAAAATTTATGGAATCTAGGACTTTAAGGTAGAAAGCAAGGATTTCTCTAAAATTTATGGAATCTAGGACTTTAAGGTAGAAAGCAATGATTTCTCTAAAATTTATGGAATCTAGGTAGAAAGCAATTATGAAATGAAAAGTGGCATGTCCGATTCACAACAGTACCTTTAAAGCTTTGTCTGCTCAAACATAAAAAATAAGAAGTAGCAATTTCTTTGCTATCTTCAACTCTATTGATCACTTGTTTCATCGAAACATGGACCAGTGACGCCGTACCAACCAATATGGTGGTACGGTTTGATGAGAGCTTAACCCTGACTCTCATGGGATGATGGTTGATCATTTTATTTATTATTTATTTATCAGACAAAGGTTTAAAGGGTACTATTGCGAATCGATCATGGAAGGTCTCTCGAAATCCTTTAAGTACAAAATCGTAGAGGTTAGTGAGATTATTAAACGATCCCTTTAAATATTTAAAAATATTACTTGTCAGGAATCACGAGAAAACACACCTGGGTGAGAAGGAACCTGTTGAGAAGGTTTCATGTGACGAGTGCGGAAAACATATTGTCAAGAATAATCTAAAGTATCACATGAAGAGCAAACATACTGCTGAAAAGGTGAGAACAATCAAAAACAAAACTAAATGGGAAAATAAAGGGTTATCCATAAAGTGAAACTTAACCACCTGAAAAGTGTCCGGGCGTGAACTAATGGCCGGGTAGAGGTGTATTTCTTAATCATTTGGACAATTTCCCCACAGTATCAAATTATGGATGCATTGATAAACATCTGCTGAACGTAAACATATAGTTAAATTAGTTTTTAAATGTACCAATACTAGAAAATATGTAAAAAACTAATCTATTTAATATATTTAGATATTTTTAAATTTGATGTTTAAGACAGAAACACAATACCCGGACATTATCTCACGCCCGTACGCTTTATAACGTGACACCTCCGTCCCTGCCTCCAGCCGAAAAGTACTTATATTTCGTCTAGAACTAGCAGCAGATATAGATTCATGTCGACCACTTACTGAGAAAATGACATAAAATGGTCTTATTTAGACCTAGAAAAGGCATTTGACGCCAGAATTTTCGAATATGTAAAATCTCAAATGGCTTGCTTGTCATAACTGTAATGATCGGGGACCAGAGATGGAATTTAAAGATTTTAAGCCGCGGTTTAAATCCGCCAAAACCCGGTTTAAATTAAGCGCCGGCTTAAATTTTGAAACATTTAATACAACTTTAAGTGGAACCAACCATCTTTAAACCGCGGCTTAAATTTAAAGTGACTAAATACAAAAAAACATCATTGAAAATATAAAATCTGATTATGACGGATATTTAATTTTTCTTGGTTAGACAGATATAGTATTTTTTTCCTCTCTTAAAATTGATTATTTTTCATTGGGGTTCTTTTGGAAAAAAGGACTATTTTAGGCACTTTCAGCCGGTTTAAGACAGAAAATGACATTTTCTTTATTTTTAATCTCATAACAGTTTCAAGAGTACCTATTTGAACTTGATATGTTATCTATATGTATATAAAGTTGTAATATCTTTTTGTCTGTTTGTTTGTTTGTTTGTCCGATCATAACTCAGGAACCCTGGACCGATTTGCCTTACAAATTGATTGGGGAACTCGGGAGACTCACGGGAATGTTCTTAGCTTGGTGTTGAGATTCTAAGTTGAGTGGATCGAATTGTTTGGGAAAAATAGTTAAAATCGTAATTAACGACAAGACGCGGGTAATCAGTGGGACTAACTATGAGCCCCTGTGCAAGGCTGGGTTCCCAAGCTAGTTCTATATATAATAGATAGTAACTTGAAATAACGTTTACAGTCTACACTGTCCCTTTAGAAATATGGTTGTTTCAGAGTGTGGTTGTGACGAAGAACCAGTTTAGTTGTTTACTGTGTGGACACGGTACCAAGTCCAGCTGGAGTAAACTAGTTGCACATCTAGATCTTCATGAGGTAGGACCAGGAGTAAACTAGTCGTACATCTAGATCTTCATGAGGTAGGCCAAGGAGTAAACTAGTCGGACATCTAGATCTTCATGAGGTAGGACCATGGATCATTTATCTGAGGGACTGTTTAATTAAACCAATGGAATTCCGGATTTCTCGTCACATTTTTATTTTAATTAATTTTGATTTAAGTTTAAATTCTTGTTCTTGTTTTGTAAGTGTTCTTGTCTTTTTTTTCTTGCTCATGTTCTTGTCCTTATTCTTGTTCTTGTTTATGTTCATGTTCTTTTTTCTGTTCTTATTTCTGTTTTTATTTATGTTCTTTTTCATTTTCTTGTTCATGTTCTTGTTCAAGTTCTTATTCATGTTCTTGTTCATGTTCTTTTTATTTGTTCTTGTTCTTATTATTCTTTTTCTTCATCTTTTCCATGTCCTTATTCTAGTTCTCGAGACTATACTTGGTTCTTGNGAATATTCTTCTGATGGCGTTGAAGATGTTCCTTTCTTAAGAAATCTTTTCCACAGTCAGGGCACCAGTGAGGCCGCTTCGGAGGCTGTACACCCAATTGCGCCACCTAGACAATAGGCCATTCGTTAAATTAATAAATTTACTAAATGACCCATTCCTCGGGTGGCGCGCTTGGGTCTACTCTTCCGGTGGTGCTTAGAAGTAGAAAAGATTCCCCTCCGGGAAAATGTGTATGAACTTGAAAATGCGGGAAAAAACAACTCCCTTCCAAATAAAATTGAAATCAGATAGAAATACAGCACATACTTTACTTTACACACGTTAAAATTTGAATTACGGTATTTTTTAGTTCACAAGTAAGTCTTTGGATTTCATGGTCGTAACGTTAACAAAGCAGGCTTTTGCGGCACCATCTAAAGTTTATTATCGGAGATGAAAAAATTTAAACTTACCCCGTGAATGTTTCTCTGATGGCGTTGAAGGTGTTCTTTTCTCTGGAAATCCTTTCCGCACTCGGAGCACCAGAACGGACGCTCTGGCTGTTGTCCCAAATGTGCAACCTAGAAATATAGAATGTGAAGACATATATATATATTATTATATAGGGTAGGGAGGATCCCAACTGTTGTAATGAGTCTGGATATATATATTATTATATAGGGTAGGGAGGATCCCAACTGTTGTAATGAGTCTGGATGTGAAAATATTCAGTTTTCTAATCTCCAGGTAAAATTGAATTTTCAAGGAAATTATTTTTGTGTAATTTTACTCTTCAAGTATGTTGAAGCCAATCCAGAATTCAAAGCAGAATCAATATAATGATTATATTTTATAGATGACCTTTCATTTAAAGTATTATTTTTGTGCACAATAATTTTGTATAAAAACTATAGAGGTGATTTATTAATGATTTTTAAGTAACAATGACATTTTATGGAGAATTGAAGAAACTTCAGATAACATTTTAAGTAACTCTCCATTTTCTTCGATTTACTCCAATATCAATGAAAGCTTTGTATAATTGCTTTTGAATGAGTTATCCATGTTTTAAACTGTGAAAATGAACACTTTTTAACTGTGGATTCCCTATGTAAAAAGGCTTGTGGATTTCTGAAACAGAAACAATTAACCAAACTGTCAGAATAAAAAGTCCATGCTCATTTAAAGAGGATCACTTGAATTAACACCGGCAGTCTCTTTAATATTTAAAATTTCTCCAGGACTGGCATTGTCACTTCTATGTTGTTCACAAACAGTGCTACCAGTGTGAGTTCTGCAACATCCTACTCAAGTAACTAAACATGTTTTTATTTCAGGGATTTATTTTATCTTTCTACAAAAAACATCAT